TATATTGGTTTATCAGCCAATTTGTGGTATTCGTATTGGGCCCTTGGCTAATTTGGATTCTCGCTGCAGAAGGCCATTAAAGGTGGAAACGCTTCCTTTCAAATTTTTTTTTTCCCATTCTAATACTCAAACCTAAGACTTGTGGTTAAGAGTGAAAGAATTCTATCTATCCCACCATAATCTTTGGTGGTAAATGAAAAAGTTAAAATCAAGTGATCCAGGGCTTATGTAGCCTTTCGTCTGCGGATTCAATTGAACCCATAACTTTTGATATGGAGTATGCATTTGTATATAAAAACCTACTAAAATTTTGAAACATTAGATTTGAACCCATAATTTTAACACTACTACAATGGGTGCTATGCTAAAAATCTTAAAAGCTGAACCCATTAAATTTAAATCCTAGATCCGCTTCCGAACTCAGCGGACTTCACGGATATCATCAACTAGCTTTAGACCAGTTGCTAATATAAATCTCAGCATCACCCATGCCTACATTATATATGATTATTTGTCTAGTACCTTATCTACACAATATATTGAGATCAAAATGGCAAATATGCTTGTTTCAAGCTGGGCTAAGAACGTTGACACAATACCTGAAAATTATGTAATGCCACCTGATAAAAGGCCTGGTGAACTTGTCTCAGTTGGTAGCAACATCCCAGTGATTGATCTAGCAAAATCATCCAATCATGCTGGTTTAGTCCAAGAAATATTAAAAGCCAGTCAGGAATTTGGTTTATTTCAGGTTTGTAAATCGATATATAGTAAATCAAATTCTTCTCTTATGCTAATGAATTGCTAATAAAAACGTCCTGATTTCAATTACTACCAAATATACAACAGGTTATAAACCATGGAATATCAGAGAAGCTGATGGATGATGTAATGGATTTATTTAAGGAGTTATTCGACATGTCTGCTGAGGAGAAGGAAAACTTTTGCTCTAAGGTTTCAAATACGAGCTGCAATTATATGGAAGTGGGATGAATTACGCTGACGAAGAGGTCCATTATTGGAAAGATCTTCTCATACAGCCCGTGTTTCCCATACAAGAACATAGACAACCTTGGCTTGACAAGCCAGCTAGATACAGGTGTGTAACATGCCATGTCTATATTTGCTTTCACTTAATATGACAGAATTAGAATGCATTATTAGTTATAGCTAATCCGATCTACAAGGTTTGGTTATTTTAGCCTATGCACTTCGATAGACATGACTCAGGTTTCAAGAATCACAAACCAACTCGGTAATTTATTTCATATGCCAGTGTTTGACTTAAAAACATCTAAAAGTACTCTTGAATCTTGTGATCTACAGCATGCCGGTCGATTGAGCAAAACGCATGTTGCTAAAGAGTATAATATAAAATGAAAGTAGTGAAAGAGTGAATTTCTATGTACAGGGAGCTAGTTGAAACATATTCAGCAGAAATGAGGACTTTGAGCACCAGGATCTTGGAACTGATAGGTGAAGGACTGGGACTAGAAGAAGCGTATTTTGGGAAGGAGTTGAGTGAAAGACAGGCGCTGGTTGTGAACCATTATCCCCCTTGTCCAGACCCAAGTTCAGCCATGGGTTCACCTCCTCACTGTGACCCTAACCTCATAACTTTCCTTCAGCAGAAAATTTATGGACTTCAGATCTTCAAAGATGGCCAGTGGGTTGGGGTTCATCCTCTTCCCTATGCATTTGTTGTCATCATTGGTTACCAGCTGCAGGTATATTAACTATAAAGTGTACCATTACACTCACTATTCTTTTGTGACAGTGACTACAAATTGACATGAAGTATATGTCATAAAAAATTTCAACTATGTATGTAATTCGAGTCCGTCATGCTGTGCACCCCTGCCTTAAGGCTATGTCCATCATTCTGCCAAATGAACTATGTTAATTACAGTATTTTAAGTTAGAAGTACTTGTAAGGTAATTACGAGTAAATCTCTATTCTAATCATTAATTAGTAACCTAGTAATATAAAAGATGCAAGTTACCTGCTATCGTAGGTTAAGCTACACTGATAATATAAGATATTTTAATATTATCAGTGTATCACTTAGTTTCTTTTAATCTAGTCATGCCTCGTCCTGTTTAATGTTTGCGATTTTAACGAATTTAAACACAGATTATCAGCAACAATAAGCTAGTAGCTGGCGATCATCGTGCAGTTACGAATTCAGAAAGTGGTCGGACTTCAATAGGGACCTTTGTTGCTCCTGCTGGAGATTGTATAGTGGAGCCAACAAAGGCTCTTGTCAATGGTGGCAATCCTGCACTTTTTCAGGCTTTCAAATATCAGGAGTTTCTTGATGACTTTGTGGCCAAAAAGGATTCTCAGAAGACACTAGAGGCGTTCAAGATTAATTGCTAAATAAATGGACAATGCTTCTCTAATGAAGTATTCTATTTCAGGCTTTTAGAAATGTCCTCATATGCAATATGATGCTTAATTAATATTGGAAGTACGTACTACTCCCTTCGATGCAGCTTATGAAACTATATCTGTTTCTAAGAAAATTATATATTTAACTTCCGCTTTCCTTTTTAATTTTAATTAATGAGAAGTTTTTATAGCCATACAAATGTTATGTCCCGCAAATTTCAAAAGTTTTCATTTTTTCTTAAACTACGTGCTGCTTCAAACTTTGTCACATAAATAGGAACGGAGAGAATAGTATCTTATGAAGAAAACAAAAAGGATAATGCTTCTCTTGAAACTTTTGAATGGAAATCGAGTTTTAGCCATTGCTTAGTTAAGCCTTTTCTTTTTTCTGGTACGTGATCATAGATTATTTCGGTTCCAACTCCAACTCTTAAACTTTCAATTAGAATTTGGGAAAAGATTTGTGTTGAAGTATGATCACTGATGTGAACACATTTCAAATAGTCCATAAGTCAAACAAATGCTCATAAGTGTATTCATTTTTTAACAAAGCTAGTTCCTAAGGGCATTCAATAGTTACACATACAGATAGCAGGAGACTTGTTTCCATCTTCCGATCACTCGATAAAATTACATCAAATTTAGAATAGAGATGTCAAAAGTCTTGTGTATAAGGTGAAATCGGAGGGTCCAATTCCTCGTCATCGAGGCACCTCAGAGGATCATCTCGAAGGCTCGACGCTACAAGGCTACGGTCGAGTTTCCTCCCTCGAGGTTCGCCGACGCTCGATCTTGGGACAATGTTGACCCCAGCTATGGTAGAGATGGGGAGTTCCCAAGGCGTGCAGCTAGAGCCGACAAAGTCCGTCAGGCTAGTCTGAGCCCGCATCATGGCAGTATCTAGCTGTCCCATCTCCTTATCTTTGTAATTAATACATTTGTACTACGTTGGGATTTCTCCTACTATATAAAGAGGATCCCTGTCATTTTATACACAACCGGTTGCTTCAGCTGCTCCGCACAAAGTATAAAAGAACATTCTCTCTGCTCTCTAACATATTCTCTTGATATTATTGCTTTCATTTATTATCTTCATTTTTGTTCATCATTTATTGCTTATCATTAGCCATAAAGAGCCTTCTTTGATTTTATCATAACTGTTAGTCATACTTCGATCACCTTCGATAGATCACAGTCGAGCCCCAGAATTGACCTCGAGGCCCCCGAATCGACAAGCTCGAGGCCCCGATTGTCAACCTATCGGTTTGGTTATCACCCCATTCCTAACTCTTATTTCATTTCTATGTTTCACACATAGCATCAACTGCTCTACAACCGGCATAAAAATAGATCACCTATTTTTAGAGTCCCACAATCAAATTTAATTGTTATTACCATTTTCACGGTAAACAGTTTGGCGCCCACCGTGGGGCTAAAAATAATAGTGATTATTTTCTTGCTAGTTTCATTACACAAAGCAAGTTATCTTTCACACCCTTTCTTGTCCAAGATCTTCAATTTCAGGTCGAAATGCCTAACTCAGTAAGTGGAGGTGAAAACGAAAATCTTGAGAACCACGGAGAGAACGGTGTGGCTGCTCCAGGTGTTGGTGTGCCACCACGAAACCTTGAGAACACACTAGGACCAATTCCAGCGGACGTAAGTTCACGCGACGCCCAACAGGTCAATATAAGCTCACACACCAACATGAGTGTGCACCAAGGAGATCAATAAGAATCTCAGAAAACCCCAACTAGGGAAGAATGAGAGTTTAGCGTTCATGCTATTTTTGAAATGTTGCAGGCACAACAGCTGGCTATTGCTCAGCTGCAAAGTCACCAGAAAACTCCTAACACGGTAGCACCGGGGACAGCTCCCCCAACCGAGCAGGTACCGGAGAGATCGAGCAATAACGGGTCGATAGCCGATCCCGTCATCGTAAAGATGCTCGAGGACCTCACCAGAAGGATCGAATCGGGTGAGAAAATGATAGAAGCCAACGATAAGAAGGTCGAGACTTACAACTGCAGGGTCGACTAAATTCCAGGAGCACCCCCGATCCTGAAAGGTGTGGATTCAAAGAAGTTCGTGCAAAAGCCGTTCCCGCAAGAAGCGGCTCCGAAACCCATTCCGAAGAAGTTCAGAATGCCAGACCTCCCAAAGTACAACAGAACCTCGGATCCCAATGAGCACGTTACCGCCTACACCTGTGCATTAAAGGGCAACGACCTAAAGGATGACGATATCGAGTCCGTCCTGCTGAAGAAGTTCGGGGAAACACTTTCTAAAGGGGCAATGGCGTGATATCACAACCTGGCCCCGAATTCTGTAGACTCATTTGCCATGCTGGCAGATTCCTTCATAAAGGCACATGCTGGGGCTATCAATGTGGCCACGAGGAAATCCGACGTCTTCAAAATTAAGCAAAGGGAGACCGAGATGCTGTGAGAATTTGTATCTCGCTTTCAAACAAAACGAATGGAACAACCACCGGTCTCCGAGGACTGGGCAGTGCAGGCCTTCACTCAAGGTCTGAATGAGCGAAGCTCGATGGCTTCGAAGCACCTGAAACAAAATCTGGTCAAATATCCCGTCGTGACCTGGTCGGACGCCCACAACCGATAACAGTCCAAGATCAGGGTCGAAAATGACCAGCTAGGAGCCCCTTCGGGTTCAGTATACCCAAGCAGGCTTCTGGCGAAGGAGCCAAAGCCAAACAAAGAAAGATATCAGCCATACACCGAAGATAGAAGGAACAGCCCGATGTGCAACCCACCTCGCGACGATTGGAGGATAGACCGAGTACAGAACCCTCGGGGACTCATCAACAGAGCTAGATTCGATAGGCACACGGGGCCAACGGAGGAACGTTGCCTTTCGGAATACACTTCAACGTCGACATATTAGACATTATGTTCGCCATCAGTAAAATCAGAGATACCAGGTGGCCAAGGCCTGTACTATCAGATCCTTCATAAAGGAATCATAACTTAGTGTGTGAATTTCACAACACGCACGGCCACAGGACCGAGGATTGCCACTAGCTCCGCGAAGAAGTAGCCAGACTACTCAATAAAGGTCACCTCCGAGAATTCCTCAGCTACCGAACCAATAATCAGTTCCGGGAAAGATAGGCGGCTAAGAAAAACGAAACGAATGAGCCATAACATGTCATCCACATGATCTTGGGAGGCGCCGATGCCCTTTAGGAACCTACAATGAGAGGAACAAAATTCTCCAGAAAAAAGCAAACTCGGGGTTACATACCCGAGGACGCTCTCACGTTCAGCGATGAGGACATCGAGATTTTGTCCCGGCTTCACAGCGACGCGTTGGTAATCTCTTTCCTTGTAAATACATTTCAAATTAAGCATGTACTTGTGGATCCAGGTAGCTCGACCAACATTATCAGGTCGAGGGTGATAGAGCAGCTCGGACTGCTTGACCAAATCATACCTGCCTCTCGAGTCCTCAACGGATTCAACATGGCAAACGAAACAATGAAAGGGGAAGTCACCCCCCAGTCAACATGGCAGGCGCAACGCAAAATGCCAAATTCCATGTCATCAAGGGAGACATGAGGTACAATGCCTTCCTCGGAAAGTCATGGATACACTACATGAGAGCACTACCTTCCACCCTCCATTAAATGATGAAATTCCCGACAGAAGAGGGGATTAAAACCATCTACGGGGAACAGCATGCGGCAAGGGAAATGTTCACAGTGCACGATGTTCGCAGTGCACATGTCATCCATACGATCGTTTGAGGTATTGGCACCATGCAGGAACCCCCAACCAGGAAAGCAAAAACATTTCTCAACAGGGAAAGGCCAACCCGAGGCCCCATCTCAGCTCTGCTACGGCGCACTGGTAACTTCTTTTCTTGTAAACATATTTCGAATCAGGCATATGCTTGTGGATCCGGGTAGCTCGGCCAATATTACCAAGTCGAAGGTGAAAGAGCAACTCGGACTGCCTAACCAAATTATGCCCGCCTTTCGAAGTCCTAAACGGACCTAACTAGGCGAACAAAATAACGAAAGTCAAAACCGCCATACCAGTCAATATAGCCGGCGCGGCCCGAAACACCAGTATCTCCACCCTCGAAGGAGCCAAAGGATTATCAAACGATAAAATAGCGATAACAAGCTATACTCTCAGCTTTTCCCGACTAAACAAAGCAGGGGACCGTACCGCATCCTCATCACGAGCGACTGAAACACATCAGGGCTCGAAACATCGCCGGCACATTCCACACTAAGGTACGACCGCCTCCTTTCTCTCTCAATTACATTCTACACTGACCTGAGTGCAGGTATCCGGTCGAAACGGCCAAAGCACTCTCCAACTCGAAGGCCTTAGGTTTCAAAAGCATGCGTTGCACTCTTTTCCTTCGACCGGGTTTTTATCCCAAAAAGGGTTTTACCGGCAAGGTTACATCTACATGCTACCTAAGGAGGACTCAACAAGTATTCAAGGCTTCTTTTGCAATCAACCTCGAATACTAGGGGGCATCCCCCGGAAGGTCATCTACTCGGAGAAGCCAAGATACGCCGAATGGATCCCCCCGGAATGTCACCTACTCGGAGAAGACAAGTTACACCAAATAGGGCCGTCGATGGGAAAAATAATGTACCGAGCCAAACGGTCGAACGGATCGTGCCCGCATAGAATAACCGAGCCCTCAACAACAAAGACATGTATGCTCAAGCAATCAAAGAATAATTTCAAAAAGCATTTCACGCTTCAAAAAAGACTCGGTATTTTTGCAAAAACGGCCCCTCTGTCAAAAATGTCCCGAACACACGAGGACTGGCGTCGACAACTCAAAACAATACGACCCCCGGGTCGGAGCTCCAAACTCATAAGCCCTTAACGAGGCAACATCAAAACAACAAAATGGCTCCAAAGCCAAAAGCGCCCCAAGCACTCGGGGACTGGCGTCAAAAACTCAAGGCTACGCGGCCTCCGGGTCGGAAACTCTGAAATCATAAAGCCTCAATCAGGCAACACCAAGCTTGCGAGTGATGGCTCTCGAGCCGAGGAATCCTTGATAGCTCGGGGACTACCGTCAATCGCCATCTCCATTGTAATGGCTCCCGAGCCGAGAAATCCTCGATAGCTCGGGGACTGCTGTCA